TGCGGACAACACAAATCACATCCTGATCCCCCAAACTTCCCAACACCGGTGGATGTGGAACGTTGATGTGTCCTCGACATTTGTTTTCGACACCTACCTAAGGCATCATATAGGTAGCCCTATAGGGCTGCCAGTCGTGAAGGACGGAAGGTATGATCGGACGGGGGCGCCCACTTCAGTTACCCAGTCCCACCTTCTCAGTACTTGGAGCCCTAAACCGTCAGTGAACGTTCCGTGATGCTAAGCTCAACCTACAGCCCACCAGAATCGACGGCCGCCCAGCAGCGAATGCCGTTGATAAAGATGTACATCAGCAGCTCGGCCGTGTAAAGAACCTGGGATTCTCGGCGAACCGCGTGATTCTCGGCGCGGAAGATGGTCACCAGTGTCTTTCGCAGGAGCCACAACAGGGGGGATGTGGTCATCGCTGAAAGGCCTCATGTGAACCCTCCACGTTACTGGAGGGTCCATTCACTTGGTCAGCGGTCAGCTTCACCCTGTGGGACCTGCACAACAGCCAGCCGTACCTTTGCCGGGAGGTGGTCATGTAGGCCTGAAAACGGTCATTTCGTCTGACTCCAAAGTTCGGTCAACGAAAGAAGCTGGTGCTCACGTCTTATCATCATGTTGTTGATATGTGTCCACCTTGCCAACAAATTGCATGCACAAAAAAAAAAGTCACTGATCCTCAAAGTCCATGCTGTTTTACATCAAAAACCAAGGCGTGCCGGACCACCCGATCGGCGTGGTGTTGTTGTTGTTGCTGCTCTCCCGTGGTTCGTTCACAGCTCAGAGTGGGACCATGATATTAGCCTGCGGACTTGTTCTTCACTGCTCCTTGGCCAAATTATCGGATTGATTGTATGGGGTCATATATAGATTTATGGCTATGTATATATATATATATATGAAGAACATTAATATTATATGTATTTAGGTCTAGCGGCAAAACCTAACAAAGCAAACCGCCAAAACAAACAAACCTTTGCTCTCACCCGCAAAAAACCGCCGTCCAACCAGGTCCAACCCACCAGGTCACCTCCCCTCCAGAGGACCACATGGAACCCCAAAGCCAAGCCCGGTTTGTAGAGGAAAATGGTCGAAACCACCGGACCATTCTCTGGTTCCATGTTAGTTTGCAGGAGAGTATCCAACTGCAGTTTTCCTTTCGCAAAGATTCATAATCTTAAGTCCTACCTAAATTCTTTCATAGAGGTATATGACGTTGCTCAACTCTCGTTGGCTATCCGAGCAGCTAGGCACAAATCGCTGAGGACACTGAAGACGCGTGGAGGTCCGCTCAGCCCGTCCGCGCGAGCATCAATGTCGCGGCAGGTGCCTCGGATCGCTCGGATGTCGAGCCTGATGGCAGACGCAGGTGTCTCAATCAAACCCATGAAATGGATTTCCCAGACACTCCATGGGACTGCCATATATGCCGATCAGTTGGGGTGGTTTTAGGGGTCAATGTAAATATGCCATACATGGAGTGTCTGGATTTTGTAAAACATGAGTCCGGATCTGGTTCAATAAAACCCTTTGATCAATAACCCCGCAGACATGGAAGTGTCAAAACTCTTCTACTCCACAGAGCTGCGAACAAGGATCGCCCTCTCTCCACTGAAACATATTGAAACGGTATTCGTTTGTCAAACCATGTCAAACCTCTTCATACAGAGGTTGATTCATCAAGAGTCTGGGTTTCTTCGATCTGACCGAATTTGATCTCAGGATGAGAGTCACGACTCACTGACTGAAGGTCAGATGTGATTTGCGGGCAAATGGCAAGAGTGGCAGTTCGAAAGCAGAGTTCAATGATCAACCTTCAAAACAGCTGCGCCACAAAAGAACTCTTGGCGCCCCCCCAGACACAGTGCCCACCCAAAAGATCTAGTCGACATATGTATGGCTCTGGGTGCCGGGAGACCGACGGGTTCTTTTTCCCAAAAGGAACAGACCATATATGGCTGGAGCGAGCGAGCGAGCTCAACCATCAGTAAGGTCATTGCTCCGAACCGCAGGTTGGCGCGTGACCGCGCGCGCGTGACCTGACTGGGAAGGCTTTCAAGATCATGAAACCCCCCTGAACGCGAGATAGGAAGAGTCGGTACCCTCTAAATCCCTATCCCAAACACGACACGTCTGGGACTGCCAGGACGGACTGCCGAGAAATGGGTGATGGTGTGGTGCCACGGGGGTCGATGTAGGCTTTTTTTGGCATGTCGTTCGGAACATGGATATCCTTTTCAGCCGTGCCATCCAACAACACCGGATAACCTTGGGGTCTAAAAAGAGGCGACCCTGCCTTCCGGGATGATCGTGATTGTAATCCACCCGCCGGATGTGGGGTAAAGAATTCACACCAAAATGGAGGCCCCGAAAGCTAACAAAAAAAAGCAAACAACAAACGGATCCGTATGAGGTAGAGACATTCAGTTGCTGGTTCTTTTTCAACAACTTGGAATGAAAGTTATACCTTTCCCCAAACATCTTTACTCGGCCCACCTCCAGGCTTAATGGAGCTGAGACGTCAAGCATCTCATCTGCACGGCATTTGCCAGCTTCCCTGCTACCAAGCGGCAGTAGGCATCTGCGAAAACGACCGTGACCATGAAATTTGCCATGTAAACACCTGGACCGTTCGGACCAACTGGGTTTTGGGGGTTGGAACATCGAATCATATCCTGTGACCCGTTGGGTTTGGTGGTCAATCCCACCAGCAGAAAGCTGTTGTTGCTACAGCTTTTAGACTGCAAACAGAACCCCTGCGGTGTCTTTTTCATGCGGTGTCTTGCGGTGTTTCCCTCTGCGACCTTTCTTGCAAGAGACTAGACCCTTCATGGCCTCCATGGTGGGAACTGCTGCGGGCTCGTAGTTGAAGAGGATTCCGGGCAAAAAAAAAAAGCTTTCATTACAAGAAGTCCAAGTCATGCCACATGAGATGAATCTGATCACATGGTGAAGTCATGTGAAGTCCAAGCGCCGCGCCAGCGCCTAGAATGATTCCCACCGATAATATGGAGCTGTCATAGTCTTCCCAATCTAGACAGATTGTGAAGGGGCCAACGTCACTTAAGGGCATCTATCAGAATCCGAAGGCAGAATGGCAACAACCATTTTTGCGGAAGCTGTCTGACTATCACAAAGACACACATCTCACCCATCTGGGACATCAGGGGTTCTCTTGGTGAGAGCTGCCCTCAAGGTTCTCCAAAACAGGCGAACGCGGATGCATCCGATCCGATCCCTCAGCCCTCCAGCTGCCGTGCCAACTCCAAGCTGCTGCTGGTTGCTTGAGTCGCTTTGGCCCTGAGGCGGCCAACCCAGCTGGCATCCTCCTCCTGGAAGCGACCGCTGCGGAAATCCATGAACTGGATGGCCGAACTTTGGGAGTTAAACACTACTTCTACATGGGGGCTTCCATGATTGTTGGATGAAGATTGTGTTGCCCAATTCTTGGTCGGATGGCATCTACTCGCAACAAAAAAACAGCTCCTTGATGCCGGTGGATTGATTGAGCAACTTGGGATGCTGGCGATCGGTTGGGATTCGATCGGCGAGTCTCCTCATCTTGAGCAACACCAGTTGTGCTGTCATAGGTGTATTGGGGTGTAAAGGATTGTACAAGCAAGAGTTTCCAGTGTCCCCCACCTTAGCCATGATTAGGGTTTTGCCCGTGTTCGGAGCTGCCTGAGCAGAATCGAATGAAAGGTCTGGCCGTCTTGGAGTTGCTTGGGCCTTTGTCTTCGCCAAAGATTTGCTTCTTGCAGCACTGAATCCCTTGGATTCCCATGAGCTGCAACTCACCTCGTTCCGGTGATCTTGCCTGCGCCTGGCAGTTCCGGTTCCTTCGTTTCGCTGGTGTCTTCTGAACTGCACCACTCCCTACGGGTCAGGAACGGACCTCAGACCAGACTGAAGCTCATCATACAATGATCATACACCAAAAACCATACAAAAAAAAACACGACTAACACCTGGCACAGACTGAAGTGGCTTAGGTACATGCATATCTATTCTATGTTAAGTAGAATGAATCAAATATTGATTAAATATTGATAGATCATAGATCTGTTCTAGCTTACATTCTCAAATTGGTACCATTCCAGTCCATATCTTCTTCTCCTGCAGGCACCCCAAAAAAACAAGCACTAACAAATGAGAACCCCCGGGCAAAAACCACGCCCACCGCACGGGTGTAGCGGTGGGCGTACTCTCCTCCGCCACCTTCCGCACGAAGTCTCCACCCATCACGGAGCGCCGGGGCTTCCTTGGGAAGGAAGGTGGGAAGCCGGGAAGACCAAGGAATCAACCCCTTAAGCCACAACAGGAGGGTACATGTCCCGCCCAGTCACCCAGTCACCCCGCCTTCATCTTCAAGAACGGGCAAAAAAAAGCACAGTCCACTCGGAAAAAACAACACATGCTGGACCGAGCTTCTTATGGCCCACCGACCATGCACTGCTGGACATCCTTTTCATCTCCATGGCGACTGAAAAAAACCGCCGGACCTCCGCGGAGTCCGCTTCCTCCGCGGTTGGACGACGTCGGTGGTGCCTCACTTTCGAGGCCCCCGAAAAGAAGGGGCGGTTGGACGCCAGAACGGAGACGATCAGGGTGTGTATGTTGGATCTTTGCACATAGAAAGACACATGCATCTGAAAGGACACATGAATATCAAATAAATATAGAGGGTCTCGAGCTGTGTGATCTATTCTTTCTGTTTGCTGTTTCTCTATATTTGACATTATTTGACAGCTAGAGACACCAATAACATCTTTCATCTGGCAAGTGGCGTAGCCTCTTTTTGAGCCCAAACAGCCGCAATCGCTGAACACTTCTCAGCAAACAACTCCCTATCATAGAGAACCCAGTATTCGACCAAGATATGAACAAAACAACTCCAAAGCCAGCTTCCCATGAAACACAAACCCTAGGGCTCAAAGTACCTTCTGAGAAAATGTTTGGGGAGGCACTCGAAGCCCCTAGGGTTTGGACCTGTGGTTGCATGCTTTTCTGGTGTCTGGGAAGAAAGCCTTCGCAAGGCACCACGTTCCTAAGCAGTTTAAGCTCGATCATCACATCATCACTCCAAGACCGATGCTTTTGGCCGGGATTGTGGTGTTGGTTTGGAACGGTTTGGAACAGAAGTTCGAAGTTCGCCCGCGGAAATTCGCACCCTCAGCTCCCCCGACTCGCGAAGCGAGTGGAAACCAACGAGTTCTGGTCAAATGGAAGTGCCGGGGTGCACCTCCTGTTGAAAGTAAAGTGATCTTTCATGATCGGGACATATCGCCTTTCTGAACCCCGCCCACTGAGGTTAGCTCAACAGCTCAGGCATGGCTTTCAGCAAGCGCACCAGGCGCGACAGGCGCAGCAGTCGCAAGAGACGCAAAGGACCTGCGCTGAGTCGTCGACCAGGGAGGTCCTCCGGAGACACCGTGTGTCCTGGTTGGACCCAGTCATGTGGTCACGGAAGCGCCATATGCAAGTCCTGTTTATACCATTCATGTTGACCAAGCATCAATCCCTGGGCTTGTAGATGTATCCAGCTACATCTGAGACCCGTTCCACATCCCCTACTGTCCCATCATGTCAAACGGAAAGCGTTTTTGCGCACAAAGGTCGGCTGAAAGGTCCCAACGCGCAGCTGGGAACGCACAGTGATTCGGCCTACAACCGGACGGAACTCCAAAAAGGCTCCACCATGCTCCCACCAAACCGGTCTATCTGAGACTATCTCTCAAATTAATCCATTTGCTGTGCCTTAAGTGTGTCTTGTGAGGGGTTTGGCTGGGCTTAAATAGCAATCATCACCATCTGTGGCATCCAGAATCTGCATACTTGGGAAGCTACTGCGAAACTGCAGCCTTTGTGCCCGATGCAGATTCCAAGCTCTTCCCGCACGCGCGGTCCCCATTTTTGGTGCCTGCATGAGATACATCAGCCAAGACATTCGATTGATGTTTGCCAACGCACGTCATCAATGAACGGGTCGACGCGTCTGCCTTTCGGATGCCACTTCCCCCACCTTCGAGGTGGAACTTGGAAGCACGGCGTGGTTCAACTCGAAAAGAACCAGCGAGGCGTTGCATACTTCTTTGGTTTTCGGAGCGAACATCGTGCGTTTTGCGCAGACCGGCATCTTGAAAGCCACATTTGGACCCCAATCTATATCAGCATCCGAGTCCTGTGCGAAGCACAAATCCGGTTGACACGTGTGATCTGTGCGGCGACAAAGTGCAGCACAAATCGGTCACTGGAAGAAACACTCTGATTCAGGATGATCTTCATGGATGCAGTTCCAAATGGTTTCAAATCTGAAACAGTATTGGATCAACAAATCGTTTTTACTGTGGAGCAACTTCAAAAATGTCTTAAGGCCTTCCATCCAGTGACTCCCGCTCCTTTTTTCCGGTGCGTATTACCGTAAGACAGATTCATTCGCTCACCAATGAGCCCGAGCCCTCGTTCGACGGGTCATCCGAGTCGGAGTCTGCGGGCGATGCTGGGGCTAACTGCGCAAGGACCTCTGGAAGCTTGTCGATGGGCATGCCAGCAGGAGTGAAGCTTCGGTAATTCAAGACCGAGACCCACATCATGCCCAGTGCGATGCACATCGAGTAGAGCAAATGCCCACAAACCTCGAATGGCAAATATTGGACAATGCGTTTAGAAAGATGGACCGGTCTCAATTATATTACTTCTTGGTTTTGGATGAGGTCTTGGATGGAGAATTCCTTATAAACGACATTAGACGGACAACAGGAACTCGTGACAGCCTTCTATTTCACGATGCCAGGGGCAAAAGGAGGACAGTGATGGCAGCCATTGACACCAAGTATCCACACCACACACAAAAGGGCCAAGTCAAGTATAAATGACTCAAGACTAATGCCAAGATGCGAGGGATTCGGGTAGGAGTGGAAGGGGGGCAACCCCCAGCGCCCCCCAATGACGCCCAGGGCCCCGCATTGCGGTGGGCGAGGAACTCCATTGAACACCCAAAACGAAAGCTTTCCAGGTGCCAAACAGTTCAATCAACAACTTCTAACTGCTTGGGGCTAAGGGTATTCAAATCTTTCGTGACATTTGTGGTTGCTTTGGGGGAAGCAACCAAGAGTGTGAGTGTTCCCATCACAGTGAGTCCAGTGTCTAAATCGAGATCAAAAGGCATTTTGGTCAAAGACTGGGCAGTGGAACTTGTCATTGTGTGAGTTGATGGTGATGGTCACGTCTCTGAACCTCACAGGGAAAGCGCCCATGATGGCCCCGACCAAGGGGAGCAGCATGTAGATAGGGATGCTCTTGGATTGCGATGCTACCTCAGATCTGTTTGGAAAACGCCCGGAGTGACATGGAGAAAGCTCATACTTTCGTGCAATCCTCACCGGAACAAAAGACAGGCAACCAAATTGGAACCATGCACTTACGCGTCACAAGCTTATATATTATGCCTATACTGTCCGGACTACTCACCCCTTTCAAACCCCTAGACCGTCGAACCGGCATGTTGGGCGGTTTAGAGTCCAAAACATGGCAAAGCCGAGTTCACCCCTGGATCACATCGATCAACTCATCGGACGCACCCTTCGCCAGAATCCTCATGAAAAGACGATATGAGACGATGCACAGAGACTTGGTGTGCCCAGCGTGTAACATGCCGAACTTGGCTGGTATAGATGAAAAGGCAAAGATCTTGAATAGTTGAAAGATCTAGGAGTAAGTTCTTTCGAGATCCAAGTGCTCAAGTACTGTTATAGATCAACACTCTTTCCAAGTACTGTTCGGTGATCAGCCACCCAGTGATCAGCCACCCACAGGCATCTTTGGCCCATGGGGGTGGGTTACCCATCTTTTAAGCACCGGGATTGAATACCTGGTTCCACGTATCAGGGACAGATGTTGACTGAATACACTTCTGGGATTGTACAGTGTATATTTTTGAGGCTTGTAAATCGTTTCCCGCAAGGAGGCTCATGCACTTGCGGCAAAGCCCGGGCCACTTGGAAGTGCCGAATGAACTTCTGCTCTTCGTCCTCTGCTGCCTCGTCAGCTGCGCGAAGCTCCACGTCCAGCACTGAGGAGATGGCATTATTGATGACCGCAAAGCCGGCCATGCCCACGTAGGAGGCTGAGACGGTCATGACAATCACAAACCCTCAGGAGAAAAAGAACAACAATACATGCAACAGAATGTTGCAAACAGGAGCAGGTCATCCGCACTCAACGAACGAAGTCTAGCCGCTAGCCCCTCTTCAGCAGGGAACTAGAGTATCCACTGACATTCTCCGAGGTGTGGGTTGAGTATACGGCCAAGGGTGTCCGACGGTCGGTCCCGGTCGGTGAAGCGAAACGACCCGACCGGAGATGGCACCGCGAAAGACCGAGATCCCTGGGTTGAGCGCAGTCAACCAATAGAGCAGTCGAGCCGATCGGAGAAGTCTTCTCCAACTTCTCATGACGTCACCAGTCTGACATGACTTGAGGCTAAGTCATTTCTGTCTGCTGTCCTTTGTAGTCAGTGTCTCTTAGATTCTCTTAGGAAGGAACATGCTCCAAGACAAATAATTACATACACCTCGCCCCCCAAGTCACCCAGTCACCCAGGTTCCACCTTCAAAGGGGGCTCGGGGCGGGGCTCGGCTTTCGCAGACCATAGGTGTCTCTCTCGTTGGTTGGTTTTCAACATCCGAGCTCAGCTGAGCGTCAAAGAATCCAGGGAGATGAAAACATGGTCTTGGCTTCACAGTAGCCGGTGGGTAGCATCTGAACACTCATGGGAACCATGCTGGCCGAGAGTGAAAAGCATTGGAGACAAATGTGCAAGATCATAAAGATTCGAACCTGGGCGTGGCAACAAAAACAAGTGGTACACTGGGGGGCGCAGGCTGTGCAGGAATTAGAGATGAATTCAAATCCCATTGCATTTTGTGGCACATCTGAACACCAAGTACAAGATTCCACACCTACAATATGATCGAACTGGGTAGCGTGTGTAGTGTTGAATGTCACTGTCATGCTCTCTTGCTCAGCTTCACATGAAATGTGACAACCACACCTACCAACCAAGCCAGCTGATGAACCTGGACATCAGCTGAATCAAAGTGTTGCTTGTGAGAGTTCCCCAAACGCAAGAACTCCAACTGAAAGAAGTCTTGAAAGACCAGCACCAAGTGCGTTCCTTAATAACATATGCGGTTGGATGCATTCTGTCGGCAAGTGCGAACCTGAAGTTAGATTGAGCTGGTCTAACAGGCAATGAATTGAACGATAATGGCATCAAACATGAGTTGAAGGCATTCCAGAACATTCCAGGACCCGGGTGGTGTCCATGAGCATGCTCCGAAAAGGGGTGCTAATCCTCAAGACTCCTTCAAAGGCATTGGTCCTTGGCTGATGGAATTTGCTCCATGTTTTGAACAAATGGTTGATTCTCCTATGTCACACGGACACGTGGAGCTGGATGTGCAGCGCAGCTCCGTCAGCGCAGCGAACCGTTGGGAAAACCCAACTCGGATGTGAAACATCTGAATCTTCCCCAGGTACGGGAGGATTCACCCAGGAAGCCGGGAAAAGAACGCCCCCCCCCCCCAAGCCCAAACATATCGCCAGCAGGATGAAGAATTTCTTGAATCAGCGGAATTAGGAGTTGGCTGAAAACTGGAACCTGGGGCATCTGGTCATGGGAAAACACACAAATACCTCAGTGACTATAGGGGAAATACCTCAGTGACGAGCCGGGGAATCTGGCAAAAGAGATTCTAGAGTCCCTCCTGATTCCGCCCACTGCACAATCCTAGAACTGTTCACCCTGCAAATTGGGCACATGCTTCCTTCAGAAATGTCGATTCTGCCTCGCGCAAATGCCCTACACCCCCAGTCTTACCTCCTCAGGTTCGGTATGACTGGACCCTCCTGGCACCCACCCAGTCCCACCAAACCTCAGAAGGTACCGACTGGAGGCCAGGGGGTGAGGAAAGGCGCCACGCAATACTTCCGCAGTCAAGGAGCCATGGAGATACCCGTGTGAAGATCGCTCCTGGGCGCGGGGTCAAAGCTTGGAACCTGCCACACCATCCGCGAAGCATCCAAGCGCAGCCGGGTGAGTGGCAGGAACGAGTGGATTGAATCGGAACGCGTGGCACTTCTCAAAGCGAACCAACACACACTCACCCTACACCTCCAAGTACCTCCTCGGAAGGTATTTGGACCCTCCTGGCACCCACCCCAGTCCCACCAAACCTCAGAAGGTACGACTGGAGGCCAAACGGGTCAGGAGAAAGATACGGTCCCGAATGCGAAGCCACACGGTGGCCGTGAAAGAAGTTCCTGGGGTACAACGGTCCGTGACAGGTGAGAACGAAGTCACCTCGAAGGTCTCAAAGGCCCAAGGTGTC